TGATGGATTTCTGGCTATACTTTGTTTTACCATCAACATGCTTATGGGCAAGAGGCAACTATGAAACAATGGTGGCTTGTGGCTCCTCCAGTGTCATGGGTGGTGGTGGAGAATTTACACCTGTTTTTGGTCCAAACTATACAGCACTGGTGAGAAGTGGTGAACCCTACCCCCAGAACCAGTTCACCAGGGATAGTTCTTTTAAAACACAGCCTGAAACATGGAACGGAAGTTAGAGTCACCAAGCTCCATTGCCACTTCCTGTTTGACACAGTTTCCTGTGAATTCATTCCAACTAACCCTATGGCTGTGGGATCCTTCTGTCCCATCCAGACAACTTCACCATCCATAAAAGGGGAGGGGAATCTTTTGAAGGATAGCAAGAGAGCGTGCTTTTTTGACATGACACAATAAGAAGGCCTTCCAAAAGTAGGACATCGGCACTCCATAGTGCCTGCCTTTGTTCACACTTGCCCAAGTACTTAGATGTTGTGAAGAGACCCTTCTCCATGTTCCATCACTTGGATCAACACATTATGTGGTGCTGTGGCACAGGGCCCTCTCCATTGTGACATCTGGTGGCAGAATGTCCTTCCCCTGAAAGTCCACTGTTGTGGGCCTCATTCCATCTTCATTAGAACTTCATTAAAGTTTTGGGGAAATAGAGACTATGGTCTGATGAAGGTCTAGTTGTGTCTGGGTGTGTGGTTTCAAAATACAGTAGTTTAGCTGTACTGTGTGATTTTAAATTATTTCAAATCATTTTAATCTGCTCCTGTTACCCCCCCCCCATATTTTTATTGTGTTTTAGCCACCCTGAGACCTTTAGAAATAGGGTGGCATGTAATTATTTACATTAATAACTGAATAGGCATAATACCCAGAGTTTAGCTGATGCACAGTCTACCCAGACGTCTTGTTGCTAATATGTGCATTTAAATAATCTTTTCTCGTGATGTCCTAAATATCAAAACATTAGTGAATCTGGAGGCTAATTGTTTTTAGGGCTATTCCTGTTGGTTTAATGTCTCTGTTTTCATTTTTGTTTTCTATGATGGATGGATGGATGGATGGATGGACGGACGGACGGACGGACGGACGGACGGACGGACGGACGGACGGACGGACGGACGGACGGACGGACGGACGGACGGACGGACGGACGGACGGACGGACGGACGGATGGATAAATAAATATATGAATGAATGAATGAATGAATGAATGTGTAGCCATGAGGCTTACACAGGTGACCAAAATGTGAGGGTAAATGGAAACCTGCTCAAAGTCCACTAGCAGTTTTGAAAAAATGAATGTTGTTGGGTGTTAAGTAGTGGTGGTGGTGGGCTGTGCCTGATCTTCCCAAAAGATGCATTTCTACTTCTAGAGGCTTTCATGAGCTGCCTTTGATCTTTCTTTCTAAGAAAAAAAGGGGTGAGGTGGGGTGGGGGGTAGGTATCATAAAAGAAGACCTGTGAGGAGCGGCATGTTATATCAGCATTACAGTTTGCCCATCCCTGCTAAATATCTATCTATCTATCTATCTATCTATCTATCTATCTATCTATCTATCTATCTATCTATCTATCTATCTATCTATCTATCTATCTATCTATCTATCTATCTATCTATCTATCTATCTATC